GGTTGACGCGACCCCACTAAAGCAATATTTACCCCCAGAGGTGGACAATACTCAACTCCATTACTTGAGTGAAAGTACAGATACTGCTGGTCAAATATTACTTCATTACAAGTAAAAGTTGTAAAGACAGATTTTTACTTAAGTAAAAGTACAGAAGTACTTGCTTTTAACAGTACTTAAGTACCAAAAATACATTTACTTTTTTATGGCAATGCACTGTTTTATTGTTGTACGTAATAATTGCAATACCTCTGAAGCAACTTAGAATACATTACACCTACTGAATACACTGACTAGCTTGTAGTATCTTTGAAATAAAGAGCTTTTAGAATGTTAAAAACCTATGGGGAAAAAAAACAAAACAAAAATAAATAAATAGATAAATAAATAAACATTTAACACCCCCACAAAACCAGGATGGTAGTGATCTCACACAGCTCTGACAGTGTGTGCACACATCTATGTGTAGCCATTCAATCACATTTGAACAGAGTGGACAGTGAAATCCTGTAAATACAGAGTGATAAGGAAGAAACAAAATCAAACCTGCTTTAAAACCCAGCAACACAACTGTAGCTGTATAACTTTACAACAGCAACACTGCTTTAACAAAAAAGCAAAACAGCAACAGACTTATTTGCCATCAAAACAAACATTTTAAAAATGCTGTCTAATCACTCTCGCGGTACTTTGATATCACACACAGAACGTCTGTGCAGTGCTGCTTCAAGTCCAACACCTATTGTGTTTTATTAGGAGATGCACATCAGTTATTCTTTGGCTTTATAGGTAATATTTTCACTTACATAATTTAGCAAAATCAGACAATATTGTGTCTAATATATACCACAATATTAACTTCTTATTATTGAATTGTTGTAAATAAATATCACATTTGCAGCTGGTCAGTGTTCAAAAAATGCTGGGACATCACTTCATGTAGCCCTACAAGAGTGATTACTGATAAACTGTCTGAAAAAAAAGAAAGTCAAGTTTTAGAGAAGAAAAAAATCACTCACTGACTTTCAAAACTGCTACATAGTAACGACTTTCTACTTCGAGGACCTTCATAGAAATGTAGTGGAGTGAAAAGTACAATATTTGTCTTTCAAATGTAGTGAAGTTAAAGTCATAAGTTCCCAGAAAAAATAATACTCAAGTAAAGTACCAATATTTAAAAAGTGTACTTAAGTACAATACTCAAGTAAATGTACTTAGTTACTGTCCGCCTCTTTACCCGCCAGATCATGATTGGGCTAGTTTTGAGAAGCAATTGGGTGGATTTTGTTGAGAAAACCTGGAAACCCTGTTTGTATCGTTCTTTTGCGCATGCAGGTGAGTTCAGTACCATGATCTGTTCACACTGTAAATCTGATATTGGCCACATTTAAAACAACAATGTCAACAGCTATACTAAAAAATCAGATCAAAGAAAAAATTGAGCTTCAAAAAAATGGAATTGAGCACTAAGGCTCGCAGTGTGAACGTAGCCAATGACTGACATGGGGCAATTTACCAGGCCATTGTGTCACGTTCCACACCAACAGGTGAATGCTAAGCAAATGTCAGAAACCTTCTGTGATGAGAGGCTGAACATGAAAGAAATGTTTCAGATCCACTGACATAATCCAGTCCCTCTGCTTAATCATGTGTGAGAGTCTGTTACAGGTCTGTTATGCACCTTGACAGTGCATGATTCAGCAGTCACAGATTCAAGATGCACAACTTGAAAACCGAATCAAAAGGGGACTCATGGTTGATGACTGGGGAGAGCCTGCAGAGTAGGAGGAGATCACCATGATCTTCGGAGTCTAAAGCCTCGTGCACACCGGGACGATTATTTTCGACGCGTCTTGTGTGTTCATACGCAAGCGATTTTCACTGGTGATGAGCCAAGTGGAGATGCAAATTCACTCCCTGACATTAGATGGCGCTTAATGAAAAATACCCCAGTACACATCGAATCCTATTTGATCTGCAATTCCTCTCCATAACAACTCCCTCTTATCGAGATTTTTGTAGTCGCTGTCACGTTTGAGCGACACCGATGAGACCAGCAGCTCTACATTCATCTTGCCTCGGTGCTTCTTCTTTGTGTACTTACTTCCTTTCCATCATTAGGTATCAGTGTGTGCTCAGTTTAATAAAACTGTAATCAGCACGATCTTGAAGTCTAGAGTTTTTGCTTCAAAATTATGTGAAAATCATCTTACTCATTTACAGAAAACAATATATTTATTTAAATTTTCTAAGACACTTTTTGTTTAGAAAAGGTATATGCGAGGAGGCGTGAATGTTCATGCATAATGCTGTGATTCACACCTGAGAAGACAAAGGCCTGCATAATGAGCTGCATAATGAGCCTTTCAGTCAGGTGTGTGACTGAGAGGGAATTGCTACAAGAAAGAATGTAAGGAAAAAATAAATTTATATATTTTTTGTTTGTAGTTTATTTAGAATACATATAACTATCACATAAAATAACTCATGGGAGTGTGTGCTTCACATGGTCTTAGCTGTGGTCCAGGTTCCTGTGCAGGCAGGAATCTCAGAGCCTGTAGAACATGTCAATGGCAGTCTCTGTTTTCCATGACCGAGTGGGCTGCTTTGCTTTGGCTAGAATGCCAATAACAAAGAAACTACATTTTAACACTATCAACCACAAATAATATTACCATATAGTCTAGGCATAATAAAAGTACAATTACTATACTGTGCACTTACTCAGTATGATTTCCAGCGAACTCAAAACTGAAGATACGTGTGCCTTTCTTGTGCAATGCCAGTGATGCAGCCACAGTCCTAAACGAAAATGTAAACAGTTAGAACATTAAAAAAAAACTTCCTGGCGTTGTGAGACATATATGCAGTGAATGAATCTTCATAATGTTTCACTTGATTATACATTTAGTCAGGAATCATGGTTTGGAAAAAGTAACTAGTAAAATATGTAAGTTATGTCACAGTAACACAATACAACTAATGCAAGTAGGCTAATAAAAAAGACTTACTAGTGTAAATGATATCCTCCACTGAATATCAAGCCGGCGTGTTCTTCTGAGGAAAATCCAAAGCTTTATTTCTCTCAGCGCGTCTTCTTCCAGAAGCGAAGTAGCCGTTTACATGCGGGCGTTTACATGCGCGCGTCTCACGTGGACGATTGTAATATCAAAATGCGCACTCGGCCCGTGGGCGTGGTCACATTAGCGATAATGAAGGCCAACGGCCAAGACTTGCCATCGCGTTGGTTTCATACTGATTACTTTTTTCTATAGATATATCTCTCATGTGTGTGTGTCAAATATTCGCTGAGTTTCAGTTCATTTTAGTGAGGCATTTCAAACAGATATGCGCGGAGAATGAGACGGCTTAAAGCACACCGTTTATTTTCTTTATTTTGCAAAAGCACAATGTTTTGTTGATATTGTAAGTGTACACAAATAAAAGTAGACCCTTTACAGATTTAAATGCTGTATTACTCTTATATGTACGGTCAAGTATGAAGGAGCATTTTAAGTTCTTTTCGCTGTCATCATTCAAATCTGCAAGTGGTGCCGCTGGCGCCACCGTCGACCCCAGGAGTCGACGCTTTTACGCCTGCCGTTTTGTACGCTGGTGTGCACACTCACAATGGCGCCCTTTGTTTAGTCACTAGGCGTTAAACGTCGGCGATAATCGCGAGCGATATTCGTTCCGGTGTGCACAAGCCTTAAGACCATCCACTTTTACCTCAGCACTCCAAGCTCCTTGGCCTTATATTTACCTTTGGCTCTACTGCAAAACTCTTTGATTCCTTGGCTTCATTTACTCCATCATGATCCTTCATCCTCCCAACTTTACTGTGATGCCTCGTCCTTCTAATCTCATCATGGTTTGTTGATATCTGGCTCCACTAAGGAGTTTTAGACCTGCACCTTGGCCCTTCATCTCTTTGGCTCCACCATGGATTCCCCCTCTCTTTGGCTCCACTATAATCCGCGGTTCCCCTTGATCCACCTTGGTCCTCTGTTCCTGCAGCGTTACTCTGGTATTTCATTCCACCAGCTTTGTCTCCACCCATGTCAAATTAATCCTTTGTTCATAATGCCCTCTGTTTTAATTAATTATTGGTGGTTCCTATCCTAACACATTGCGTCTTTTTTAGTAGCTGTTTTGCTTTCCCATGGACTTTTTCTTTTTTGTGATATCCTACTCTCATGTACTTCATATAGAACAAAAGCTGAACCATGACTTATACAATAATTATACAATAATAAGTATAATTTTTTATTTTTAACTAAATTAGCCTATAAAAATTTAACAAATAATCAGATATATTACTGTAGTGATACTGTTGTAGGCTACTGTAAAATAAAAATATATATATTTATTTTATTTTAAGTAAAATTATAATAATAATATGTATGGCTGTTTTCATTTCTTTTATTTCCAATGTTATTGTTTTTTATTTGTGTCATTCAGGCTTCAAGCACTGAAGAAAGAAGCTCTTTTGCATTGCCCTTTTTTTTTTTTACGTGGTTAAACATTGCCCGTCTCCAACGAATGACATTGAATCAAGTAGGCCAGTGAATCACTATTTTAGGACATTTAAAGGTGGGCTAAGTGATTTCTGGTAGCCAATATTGATATTTCAAATCACCAAAACAAACACGCCCCTACATCCAAACGGGTCTTGCCCCTATTTTGATAGCTCCGCCTCACACATGCGTATGCATCCCAGGCAACGATTAGTTCTGTGAAACAAAGCAAAACCAATGTTACACTGTGTCTACACCTGACGCGACAAAATACTATAGAACTCATTGGCTGCATCCGAAAACTTAGGCGGCTGACTTGCTGCCGTATGAGGCAATGACTTCAAAGGCAGCGTTTTTGCACGAAGGCACCTCAGTTATGTATTAACTCTATGAAGACCTTGATGAACTCGCCCGCCAAAGGTCTGTGCACAGGAGGAGAAGGTTGAGAATGGCAGCTACTTTTTAAGGAGGATAATGTTGAGAATGGCAGCTACTTTTTACTTAAATAGAAGCACAGAGGTAAGTCTTAATTGAAGGTTAGGTAATTGTTCTCATTTTCAAAAATAAACTAATATTATAAACAGCAATACTGTTTATTTTATTTTATTATTACAGTATTACTGTTCATTATTGTATATATTTTCAATATCCCCTAGGCAATTATTATATAAAAATTACACAGTAGCAAGTGTTAGATTTAAAAAATATTTTATTAAACATAATTATTATACATATTATACATTCCCAAATGAGCAGTTTTTCAGTTTTATTAACTATTCCCAACAGAGCTTGCCAGTTTATTCCATCTGCAACCAAACAGTCTCACTCCTACACATCTTTTTTGAAGGGGGTGACACACGGCCTGATTTCCGGCTGAGTCGTGCGTCCATTACAGCCCTTCTCCAGCTCCTGGACCAGAGGCGGGTTCATGGGTGGGGTCCAACCATTGAACTACTGGTCTTCCTTTTCTGGCTGGCCAGTGGAAGCTCCTACCGTGTGGTGTCCAGGGCGTTTGACATGCCCACATCCACTGTTCACCAGCTCATCCATCGAGTGGCAGGGGCAATGACACGTCTGACACCACATGTGATAAGTGTCCCAAACACCTTGGATGCACAAAGGGAGGTGGGTGAGGGTTTCAGGCAGCTGGCAGGGCATCCAGCTTTCCAATGGTCAATGGGTGCAATTGATGGATGTCACATCCGGATCAAAGCACCTGGAGTGCCCCATGCTCAGTGCTACAGAAACCGCAAACTGTTTCCCTCAATCCAGCTGCAGGCTGTATGTGACCACAAAGCCAAGTTTATTGATGTCTTTGTTGGCTTTCCTGGCTCTGTGTACGACTCCAGAGTCCTCCGACACAGCCCCCTGTATCGCAGTGGGGCATATCCATCACCAGGACACTTCCTCCTGGGTGATGGAGGCTACCCCTGTTTGGAGAGGCCCATTGCCATGTTGACACCCTTCAAGCAGCCTGTAAGAGGAGTGGCACAACAGAGGTTTGGAAAAAGATTAAAATAAAATTAAGCATCATTACGTTTCTTATATTTAAATTGTATTTAAATAATCACTTTGGGGGCTTTACAGGTTTAATGCTCATCATGCCAAAGCCCGCTCAGTCATTGAGCGAGCATTTGGCATCATGAAGGCCAGGTGGAGGGCCATCTTCTTCCACGCCCTGGAGGTTGATACTTCATTCGTCCCAGATGTTGTGTTGGCATGCACCATACTGCATAACATCTGTATTGGCAATGACGACATTATGGCAGTAGAAGAAGAGCAACCTCAGCAAGAAGAAGAAGAAGAAGAAGTGGCTGGGGAGACTACAAATGGAAGTGCTCTGCGTGAACGCATTGCTGCACAACTGTCCGCCCTGCAGGATCATGTTGTTGATCATGATTACCATGTACAATATAATTAAACGTATAAATACAAACAAGATTGATCTTACCTTTTATCTTCATTTCACATGTCTGACCACCTTGTTATTATTGTATTTGTTTTTATGTTATTGCCTTTGTATGTTCTATATTCTTGTCCAACACATTCAATACTCACATCACACATCAATGTAGAATAAAGCAGTTTTTATAAAGTTACTGATATGACTGGTGTCTTCATCTCATGTGAGTATACATAAGTTTTAACCATGAGGTTGTCACCTAGAGATGACCTTTATCACCTAGACATGATCTCTACGGCCCTGAAAATTAATGTTTGTTGTTGTCCACTCGCATTATTGACAAACTATTCTCTGTTTGCCACTGTAAAGCTGCTTTGATACAATCTGTATTGTATAAAGCACTATACAAAATAAAGGTGACTTGACTTGACATGAGTAAGTATTGAATTAATTAGAACATATTTAAATTAAATTAAACCTATTGAGATTGGAAACTCAGAAAATAAAACCTTGCCATCTCAATTTAAGTATATTTATTCCCAAATTCTCTCAACTTACTGTTATACCAAAACAAAACCACTGCAGTACTAACACAGGTAAACAAACTTATTTTAACATAACTTAAATACATAACTTGAATACATAAAAAAATATATATACAATTTCGTTTTTCTTAACAAGAGTCTCAAGTAAATTGAGAAGTCTGTTGGCCCTCTCATCTGCAGCCTTTTGTCTGGCTTCTTCCCTGGCTTCCTCTCTGGCCATTTCCTCCCTGAACATTTCAATGAGGCTCCTCTTTTTCATTGAGGGGCAAGAGAGAGGCATTTGAAGGCCCCGGCTCACCACAGGTGGAAGAGGCCTGGGACATTGAGGCAAACAGCACTGGAGGAGTAACTGAATGCTTCTGACCCAAAGCCTCATCCATTAGGGTGAACCAGGGCCATGATGCAGCTGTATCCTCTTCCTTGTCCACCCCTGAACCAGTTGGTGGGTTTTTCAGCTCCTACAGAAAAAAATATATTTTTTATATAAACTGTAGAATGCATGTAAAAATATGTAACAAGAATATGTATAAAACATACCTTATATTTCTTTTATATGTTGTCCCACTTCTTCCGGGCTTGTTGTGGTCTTACTTTTCCCTCCAGTCCAATTGTCTGAAGCACTTTTCTTGAGAAAATTCAGTGAGATTAAAAGTTTAAAAACATACGGATAACCTATCACTGTAAAGCATACATTATTAACTCACATAGGAAATATTAAATAATATAAGCTTTGAGTTACACGTCTGTACATTACACTATAGGACAATGGTAAATCGTACAGAAAAAGCTTAAGCATTTAGACCAGTGATTCCCAACCTTTTTTTAGTCGTGTCACCCTTTGGAAATTTTAACAAACTTGTGGCACCCTAAAAAAGTAATGTTGTCACAATATTTGAATTTCTAACTTCGATATGATAATTTGAAAAGTATAGATATTCGGTACAACAGGGAAGAACTGCAGAATATAATGTCATACAGATATTTTTAATATTATTTAAAAAAAATTGTCCATCAATGGTGGCAATCAGTAGGTTAATTTCTAATGAAGAGACCAATTTATATGACAGATTTTAATGTAGGCTTTTATACATATGTAAACATTATTTAATTACCATTATA